AAGGCTTACACTCGAAGATATCTGTTCAAAGCTAATCGAATTTATTTGGCACCGTTTTTCACTCACGCGTATTTTAACGATTTTTGTGTTCCCTTTTTCTATTTTTTTTTGATCAAGTCAAATTTCATTTCAATAAAATACGCATTAATTTCATATAATTGCTTTAGTTGTTTTTTTTTCCCCCAACTGGTTTTTCCACCTGTCACGCTTTATTCAGTTTGCCAGAGTCTGTATGTTTGCTCGCCTCGTCCATTTCAATTAACGCTCAAGGATTATTTTATTATGTCAATCAATTTCCGTAACTAAAAAGGCAGCAATAACGCAGCGAAGCGTCGAATTCGTTTTACTTTCTACTTTAATTTACTTTAATATTCTTTTTTTTTTAAGTTAGTATTCCAATTTTCATTTTTTGTGGCGTGCATCTCTTCAATGTGCGCAATCTAGTTGTGCTGCCTGCAGCAAGAAAGGATTTTAATTAAACGTGGAATTTTTGTTGATTTAAAAGGTAAAATGGAAATTCAAATGAATTAGCTGAACTTAATTAGTTAAGTGTTTTTTTAAGAGGGAATTTCTCAGGCGGCAGTGTATTTTCTTATGAAAAGAATAAAATTGCTTTGCTAAAAGATTTCAATTTTGTGCATAAATATGATATGCGCAAATAAAAAATAAGGAACTCACAGTAATGCATTTCGACCGTATTGAAGCGTATTAGTGAGCTTTTCAAATATTCAGCCATGTGTGCTATTAAATGCAAGAGTATTAGTGAGCTTGCAAAAGCTTTGTATATGCTGCAATGCCTACTCAAGCTGAGCTCAGCATCTGCGTGTTGCGTGGGTGTGTGTCGGCTGCTCTAAAAAATTATAATACATTTTGTTTTTCGACTTGTCTTCAAAAGAGCAAAGCTCGATTAAGTCTTGCAATTTGCATATTCAATTGAAAACATTTCCATTCGATTGGGCATTCACAGGTACTGCCTGTATTTTCTAGTAATTGCCAGTTTATTGCCTACAAATTTCCAAGAGAAAGAGATAGAGAGATAGAAGGAGAGAGTGAGAGTGTTTTCCTGAAGAAAATACAACATGCAGGCCGGCAATAAAATCAAAACTGCCATGAATCATTGAACACATTGAAAACACTCGAACAATTATAATAGTTGCTTCTATTGGGTGGGACGTGGGCGTAGGCTTATTGTGTGTGATCTATGGCTTGGGCATATGTTTTGTGTGCGTGTTTGCAAAAAGAAATAACACACAATTGTAACGACCACAATAAATGAGTGGAAAACCAATTAAAGATAACAAGAGGCCAACGGCAAAAACTTAAAGCCAGAGCAAGAATGAAATACATTAGCATAAGCAAACAGAGGACGCCCACAGCTCTGGGAAACAAGCAACTGGCGAGGGTATAAGAAATAAAGAAAAAAGCAAGCCTACTATGACTAACCCGCCTAACTGGAAATAAATGTTGTATAAAGAACAAACAATTGTTGACTGCAATCAATCAGCAGAGTTAAACGTTTCCCGAGACTAGAGACTGCAGCTCAACCAGTCCAACAGCCCATCAGCCCACCAGCCCTGTCCAGATACGAACCCGCAACCAGTTCAAGGCAGGAAGGAAGTGCTCTGGGCCCCGGGCTTAACTCTGACTGACTGCCAACGCAGGCCATAACTTGAAGACATGAAATGGGCCGAGCGAGGAGCAGAGACTGGAGACGAGCGGGGGCTACAAAAGAAAGGCATTCGAAATGAAGTGCATGTTGTGAGTGTGTGTGTGTGAGTGTGTGTGTGTGTGTAGGGGGGGCCATTGTGTGCAATGGCATAAGGAGCAGCAGCTGGCGGCAGGCAGGCGGAGAAGGTGTGCACACTAAGCCGACAAGTCTGACTGACTGCCAGGCCGGGGCTAGCCGGGGAATACTTGCCTGCAGGAAGCCAGAGCTGTAGCTTGGCATTGAAAAATCATTGCCGGGGTTGTGGCAAGCGGGGGCTAACAAAGCGGCAATAAATGCAAAAATGCCAAGTGCATAAATATGATAGAGGCTTTGTTGAGGGGTTAAGGTGGTAAATGCAAAGGAGACGGTGGAAAGGGGCTTGTGCTTTGGTGACGCAGCAAAAGGCTTTACAGCTTTAATCGAGCGTAACAGAAACGTGGCCCAAAGCGGTGCATTGAGCCTCCAGCAATGCCCCTGATCACACTGTGCTACAGAAAAAGGCAAGCTATATCAGAAATATTCCTTAAGTTGTATGCGCTGGCTTGGAAAAGGGCTACGCATGGCTTTTCAATGCATTCAACTGTGTACGAAATATTAACATTTAAGGTTTCAACAGAAAAAATCCATCATTTCTGAAGATACGAAAACGAGAAGACTAGGAACCAGTTCAGTGGTTATAAATATATTATTAATATTTCTGTTATTAATATTATTATTATTATTATAATAATATTATAATAGATTATTAGTTGAAGCATTTTTATAATATTGGTTTTTTATTATATTATCTTTTATTATTTTATAAGTTATCATTAATACTCTAATTATCTTGATTATTAATATCGATAAAATTCGATTTTGATATGTTTTTTTAAGGCCAATATTGATATGTAGGCTATCGTATTGTACACACAGATAAAGAATATTTAAGTTTTTGGATACCTCAACACAAATAAATAAATAAAATAAATTATTTGTAAAGCAGTCTATATTAGCAGAGGCCAGTTTTGTGGCAAGTAGAATGTAAGCACCGAAGTTATGCAAGAATACATACCGTAATTTAGATTATAAAATCAACTTCGAATTCCCAAATGTTGTTTCACAGTGTATTCAAAAAGGCCCAAGCAAAAACTCAAAATTTTCTAACTAATTGTGAAGGCGCATAAATACTGAAGAGCTTAGAATAACGCTGCAGGGCGATTCCTGGGGAGGCGGGGCGTGGCAGAGCATGGCCAGTCAGTGGAAGTCGTTCTTGGGAACTGAATAAATGGCAGTCATAGTGAGAGATAAAGAGATCAACTGATAACAGATAAGCGCATAATATTTATGCAAGCTACTGTCCCAGCAGCAACAACAACAACAACTGCTGCTGGCAGTGACAATGACAGAAGCAAAAGGTAAATGGAAGAAGAAAGAAACTAAGCAAAGAATAGCAAAGCAAAGAAAGGCAAATAGAGAAGTAAAATGAGCTATTGTAGAGAACTGCAGACGTCTGCCTACGATTTCAGCGTAACCTTTCGAATTGTGTTTGGTTCGCATTGTTTGGTGATTCCTTTATTTTGTGTTGTCGAGTGCTTCATTTGAATTTATGAATAGTATTTGTGAGTGCGATGAATGTGTTTTTTTAGGTTTTACTTCAATGTTATATTCATGCCTCGGCAGCCACTTGAATATGCCAAACAGCGAGTGCGTTGCGTCTCGCAGCTAAAGAGTAGTTGTTTGTCGGTTAGATTTCGAGTAGCTGATTGGCGGCTCAAGTGGTTTGGGGTGGGATGGAGAGGGGGAAATGCCCTTTGCTACGGAGAAAATCGGGCAGCAAAGACCCAAGCAACTATTGTGCTTGGGCCCATAAACAGATCGTTAAACGTTCGAGCAAATTGCGGGCACACGCAAACACGCCCAGAACCGGTTCAAAGGCAACTGGTTGCCACAATTTCACAGATACATCAAGATGCAGGCAACAACAACAGCAACAGCAACAGCAACAACAACGATGATGATGCTGATGATGATGAAGCTAATGCTGTGGCAGCATGCAATACAAAAGATGCTGCTGCTGGCTGCTGCAGCTATTGCGTGCCACGCCCCCTAATGACCCGGCCATAAAAAGCTCATCAGCGTCGTTGCGCAGCTGGTACAACAACAAACACAACAACAACAGCAACAGAAATTTGATAAAAATTGCAGCAGTCAAGGTAAGCACTCGCTACCCTCACTTACACACACACACACACACACGCAACACACAATTTGAGTCAACGATTATTTAAAGTGCACTCAAGCAACAAATGTTAATGCAACAACAGCAACAACAACAGAAACAACAACAACAACACCAATGGCCAACAACCAGCCCTAAAGATACACGGCAAATGTCATGAAGCCAAATTTTCTAAGATTGCATAGATATTTTATGCACATAAAAATGGCTAAAAAAAAGTTGAAAAAGCGAAAAGAAATGCAAGCAATACACAAGCACACACACAAGCACACACCAACACACACCAACACACACACACACACACCAACACACACCCACCCACACACACACACAGCAAACAATGGCTCAAATGTGGTTGTCGTCAGCTTTGTCGTTGTCCTGCAAACGTTTCCGGCAATAGCAGCAACAGTAAAAGCCGCATACCCTGTACATTTTATGTTGTTGGAGCATATTTGTGCCAGAGCTGACAGATACTTAAAAATGTCTTTTTGATTATCAATTAGGCAGTCAGTCAATCAGTACAGATTATTATATATATATAATATATACATATATGACATATTTAATGGGATAATAGATGTAGATAGCTATGTTTCGTCTTTGTCTTATATATGTCTTAATATATCATTATTTAATTAATGCTGATTGACTGAGTGACTAACTCACTGATTGAGAGATTAAACCATAACTCGAAAGGCTGGAAACCCAAAAAATCCTCTTTTAGTGATAAAGTTGTATGCAGGCGTTTCGATATATTTTCTGGTCAGGTGCCAATCTTATGATTTTTATTGATACTTAAGAGATTTTATTATATAATATAATCTTTCTTCTTATTAAATTATATATAAATAAAATTGTCAAAAAGCTTGGACTGGTTTTTTGAAGGTAAAAACTTACAGCAATAACTGCCGATAGAGGGCGCCACTTAACTTTTATTTAGAAGACTCTCACACGGTATTTCATAGCTCATCAGAGCACAGCTCTTGTTATTTCACTTCCGCAAATGCTTGTTGTTTTCTTATATATTTTTTTGCAAACGTTTTTGACAATGATTCCAATTATTGTCAACAATTTTGTTTCTTGTGTTGCTTTTCTCAGGTATTATTTTAAGCTGTAATCGCTGAGCTATTTATCTTTTATCGCGGACTGTTTTATTTATTTCTGTGTTTTTTGCGCTCGAACGCCTTTTCAGCAGCTGTCGCAGTGGCTGTTGACACAGACGTAAATCAAATGTGCTTGTGGGTCCAAATAAGGTAGCAAGTGGAATGTGGCATGTGGCATGCGGCATGTTGCATGTTGAGCAGCCACAAAAATCTATTCAATCAAAGAGCCAAGTGCATAGCTCAATAACAAAAGGGGGATGGCGTGGCTGGATTGCTCATACATGAATGGGTCAAAATCAAAGCGCGAAAATTTCACTCGAATCGAAGTCCACACACATAAAAGGCGCGTCCAACGGCCCAGTTGACCCACATTTTTGGGGTCGACCGTCAACTGATGAACTGACAGGCGAGAGACTTTTATGACTTTCGGTTGCTTTTGTGGCGGCACTCGGTGGGGTCGGGCTTGGTGCTTGCCGCTTGGGTTTGGGGCTTATCGTTATGGTTGAGCGACACGACATGACTCAATAGGAGAGAGAGAAAGAGAGAGAGAAACATCGAGTGGAGGGGCGGCAGGAGGCGGGCTCAGCTGCAGCCTGGTCAACATTTGCATGTTGCATGTTGACTTGCCTGCAACTGCAACGAAAGTCATGGCCCGAGTGCATACGCTTTTTGTTGTATATTTTTATTTATTACTTTTATTTGGCTTGTGTTGCTTTTCTATATAATATTACACACACACACACACATACTTGCACACATGCATCGTGGCCGTTAAATTTGAAAGTCTTTCGAAAGGCCACTTAGCACTCGGTTGCATTGGCAACGGGAAATGGTGAATGCGCTTTGGTCAGCCGGGCCACAATTCGTGCCTTTTTCTTTATTTTTTTTATATATTTTTTGTATGTTGAATGTTTATTAATTTATGTGCTCATTGCTAAAGACATCATTAAAGTGAAAGTCAATTTGTTTCAGCTTTTGTCTGTTGCTGTCTCTTTCGCTCTCTGCTTTTCCCACAGACTTTGCATTTTTCTTGAACTTCTTGTGGCAGCCACCACCACAACACAATTTATAGCTAATCATTTGTCTTCTTGTTTATTATTTTTATTTTTAAATTTTTTTTATATCCATTTTGAAGTGTTAGCGACTTTTATTAATGACTGTGGCGTTACTTGTAATGTGTTTGGGGTTAAATTAATATTTTGATTGTGTAATTTGTCAGCCCGCTGCAGGGTGTTTGAGTCAAGATTTTCTTCATTTATTACATGTATGCAACTGATATTTTTTATTACAAATGATTAACCCAAACTTAAGGGCTCTAACATAAGCACGTTCTGTTAAGTATGTTAACAGCACTAAGCAGATAGCAGCAGGGTGTTACATATGCTAGTTATGTTAGTTCTTATATTATGTAACTATATCACACTGTTAGCTCTGAGCTCCAGCAATAAATAATGGCTAAATTAATCATTCTGTTAGCCTTAACATGTTCATAGTCTGTTAAGTTAATAATAGATAAATTATACATACTAAATTTAATGTTAAACCCTTAACATAACCAAGTAATCCCATTTAACATGTTCGCACTCTGTTGGCTTACTCTGTAGAACAAGCACGTTATCAGCATGAAATAAAAGCCAAATTTTAATGCGAGTCAACTCTGTGAATCTCTTGTAAAGGTTTATATCCACAGTTTCGAACAAATTCAATTGAACGCTTTGTCTATTTGGTGCATAAAAACTACATTTGTAGGACTTTTTTTCTGCTACAAATTCGTTTTTTCTTTTGTTAAATAAAACTCACTTTACTAAGCTGCGCAACATTAACAACGGCTGCATGCACAAAAATCCAGCTAACAATTTACCAAAAAATCCGTGCCATAAAAATGAAAAAGCTTTTTTATGCCCAGGCCAAAACCAAAGTTTAATTACGCTAAAAGACTATTTGGTGTTTCGGGCCTGTCTGCGCTTCGATGAGGCCACGCGCTAAATACCAAAAAGGATCCAAACAAAGAGTGTCAAAACCCAACAGACCGCGACCACGCCCACTTGACTGGTTCGGGAAAAATAAAAGTGGCAGTTGGTTGCGTTGCCAGTAAACTTGGCCAGAACAAAAGCAAGTTTAGGCATACGAGAGAGTGTTTTTCATTTAACGCGGCAGGAATTGAAGAGCGGCCCGCCGAGATGTTAAAATGTTTAGCAAATACAAAAAGGCAACTGTGCGACAGCATGAAGCAGGGAATGGAATCCAATAAACTGCAGCGTGTGTCTGTGGAGGCGACAGCCATTGGGAAAGTGGCGGCGAGCTGGTTCGCTAAGTGGTCAGCCGGGAATAGAACCAAAGACCGAGACCGAACCGAGACCAAATAGCAGCAGGCGCAGCAGCAGCGGCAGCAGCGGCTGCCAGTTAACTTGGTCAAGTGTGGCGAAGGAATGTGAAAGCTATAATACATATATGTAGTCATAGGCCATAGCTGTGCACAGTCATGACCAGCTAGAGTGGCCGCGCCCCCCGCCCATCGCCCCACTTCGACCCGAACCACAGATTGTCGAATGGTCGCACGTTTCTGGGCCGCGGCTGAAGCTTTAAGTCGAGTGAGCTCTGTGTGGCTGTGTGTGTATGTGTGTGTTTTTTTTTTTTTATAATTTCATTTGCAGACACCTGAACTTAGAGCAACGGGCACGTCTACTGCCACTGCCACTGCCAGTGGCAGCATTTACTGGGCTTTGTTCGACTCCATTCTTGGCCCCATTTTAATTGCAAACTGTTTGGACTGCACTTTTGTATGCAGGCCTCGGACCCGGCCATTTGGACTCGATTGCAAGTGCGTTTTCTATTTTTGTTGCCCACTTTGGTTGCGCTTCGTAATTCGTTTAGCGCCGCTAGGTGGCGCTCTTGTACGGCCCTGTTGACCCAATTGCCAACAGACGAACGCCCTTCAGGCGCATAAAGCGAAGTCAGCCTTTTCAGCATCTGCCATAGTTATGCCCTCGCTGAGGGCATTTTTGTTTTGCCATGCGGTGTGTAACGATAAGAAGGGGACATATCCGGCCTTATAAAGGATTATATAGTCTTGATCAGTAGCAATTGGAAATTTGTCTGTGATCCTTAAGGCTATATACATCGGCTTCCTATTGCATATATTTTACATAAACATGCACATATTTTCTACTCTTTAAACAAAGAGATTTTCAATATACAATTATTCGTCTTTTCTGCTACGGATAGATCTTATCAATATCAGACTACTCTTCTGTATACCTTGAAGGAAGAACCAAGAACTTTTCCAGATATCCTTACCAAAACCTCTATAAATTTTTCTCGCACATATGCAATAGCTTAATCTCATAATATTCAAGGGTATTTAGTTTTCGGCGTGCTTAAATTCTTGTTTCACAATTATTCTGTTTTCTTTTTGTTTGTTTAATTGCAAGTGTGAACATTTTGTCTAGTGGTTGCCTTGTTGTTGTGCTTCTTCTTGTGCTTTTGCAATTCTTTTCGCGTTCATTTTTTGTTTATCCTTTTCTGTTGCCTGCGGCTCGTTTAAGTCTGCACTTTTTATTTCCGCTTCCGCCGTACATACTGAAACATCGCAAATGTTTGGCTTGTGCGTGGATTATCAACACAAACTGCGAGCTGGCCAAGCTATATGTATATGTATATCTATATCTATGTTCAGGGATTGTGCGCTATTTATTTATGACGATTACCTGACCAGAGCTGGAGTTAAAAGCGAGCTGAGTTCGTATTACATACCTGTGAAGAGAAAAGTAAGGCAAGAGATTTAGTTTGTTGTTGCTTATAAAAACTTTATGGGGTAAATGTAATTGTTAGAGAGAGCATAGAGGCCGTAACAGTTTCGATAGTAAGGTATTTTTATCGATAAGATAACAATATCGACAGAAGGTTATTTTTATCAATAAGATTAATAGCCAAATTCTCAATAGCTCCGACTGCTGAATACTCTGTCTTACCAAAAAAAAAATTAAACGAACCCCTCTCAAGATTTTTGGACCAACCATCTACTGGACTCTGAGTCTGGCTTTTAGTATTCAAAAGGAAACTTTAAATTGATTCTTCTTCCTTTTCGTTATTTTCATCAACAGATTTTATATTCTTCGAATTAGTTTTACAGACCAGCCTCTGGGTATGCCAAGCGTTTTAAATAACATTCATTGAATGTATATGCCATATAATGTCTTCTTTTACCGTCTGTATTTTTCACACATGCTTTGTTTTTTTGTACATTTAAAATGGTTTTCTTTTTCTCCAAGTTTTTATTGTCAGTTGAGTTCATTCTGTTTGCATCATTGTGTTTATTATCTATTATTTGTACGCCATACGCAAAGTATTCAACATTTGCTGCTTGCCTCATGTCTTATTCATTTCATTGTTCTATCTATGCAAATGCAAACAACACCCCCTAACTGCACACATAACCTCAAAAAAACGAAAGAGACTGTCACATTCTTATTTTTCACTGCAAATTTCACACACTTGCAGGGGCTAGCAAAAAGCTATTGGGGCGCATTTATTTACTTAATATTATGTAGTCTAACGCACATATGCGCCATAAGACAGCTAACAAACACACACACACACACACATTGTAGACACATAATAAACACGCTTTTCTGTTTTTTTCTGTTATTCGCGCGCGTTTTTCTGCGCGCTTTAGGAAAATGGGAAACGGAAAACAAGAACGAACAAAAAAAAAATGCTACAGGTGGTTAATATAGTAACTTTTACACTTAACGTCACAGCTGCCCCCCTCGCACCGTCTGGCTATCTGCCCTCCTGTCCTGCCTTTATGTACATATTATGCCATAATTTACATACATTTTGCATGTTCTGCGCGCGAGCTGTGGATAACTCAGGTACATTGAACCTGCAATGATTGCAGTGGAAAGACAAAAAACAAAACTGAAAAAAAAAAAAATAGTCCAAATGCCGCTAGCAAAATATTACGCGCCCCGTTGATAAGGTTGGGCATGCATATATGTCTATATATATATATATATATAGATATATATATCTATAGCTGGGCTGGTAGGGTATTACAAATAAAGTTCTGACAACAGGCGTGACAACAGCAACAACAATAGCAGTAACAACAACTGTTGCTAGTTTCCGGTTTCCTGCAGCGATGACAAATTTTGTGCTAGCCAGTATTTTGCTGAACCTATTTTTTTTTTTTTAGATCGTGTTGAAGTTTTGTGTGCTGGAATCTGGTTGTGGTCCGGGCTATGGTTATGGTTCTGGCCCGTCTGTCGCCATATTTTGTCATGCATTCAATTTACATGCACTTTTTCCCCTTTCAACCCTTTTCCCTCTCTGTCTCTCTCTCTCATTGAAATGCAATGTTATGAAGTTTAATAATGCACCGTGACAATTGTTTGCTGTTCGGTTATTGTGCACGTTTATAAGGAAATGCTGATGTTGACTAGTGGAAAATAGCAAAAAGTTTGACAATAACAAAAAAATAAAAATTAATAAAAAATGCTGCAGGGCTCAGGCTGTTTGTGGGTCTGTGTGTAGATTGATGGATTGGTCTAACTGTAGAACTATTTTTTTCTGAATTTAATTGAAGCCTTGTTTTAAATCTGCACAAAAATCCTATCTGATTTTTCGATAGCGAAATTGGGCTTATTTGAGATATATCACGCGGTATTGCAGTAGCAGTAGAGCAGGGTGACAGTAACAATTACAGTAACAGTCACATTTACAGTAAAGTAACAGTAACAGTAGCAGTCATAGTTACAGTAACAGTTACAGCACTGACTGTAACATTACAAGAACCATTAACAGTGATAGTAACTGTAACAGTAACAGCAGCAGTATCAATAACAGTAGCAGTAACAGTTGCAATAACAGTAACAGTAACAGCTACCTAAATCTTAGCGGTTGCACTTAATTCTTAGCTGTTGTCTTGATTTTTTGGATTAATTTTGATCAACACAACTTTAGGCAAACATCAGGAATTACAGAAACATAAACAGTAATTGTAGCTGTCAGTAAATAATATATTAACAGCTGTTAAGCAATATGTAAACTGTCAAGCATGCTGTCGTTTTAAGTTCGAAAACTTTAATTTCATTTTATTTGTCGCTTTTCACTTAACCAAATCACTCGCTACTCGATGCCGGAAGCAATGTCTCCGGGGCGTACAAATTATTTAGGCAATTTCCATTTCAGCTTTTCACTCTTTCCTCTATTTGGGCCCCGTGCACAGCTCAATTCTGGCTGCACACATCCTGGCACAGTCCCGGCACGCCACTCGCCTGGCGGCCCCCTGGCTGCCTGCTTGGCTGGCTTCTAAGTACTTTAAATAATGAAGCTATTTTCGCGCTCAATTCCCATACGCAGCCAATCACTTCAGAGCTTCAGACTTTCGACTTCAGTCCTCAGAGAGTGGAAGTGCTAGTGGGCACAAACAAAGGGCCACGCCATTCAGTTGGCTAACAATGCCAAGTTGCGAAAGACTTTACTCGAAATCAATAAGAAAAAAAATAAGTAAAGGGAGTAACTCCTTTGGCAGTCACATGCGCGGGCGTTTTATCTGCATCTCTGTCATCTGCAGCATCTCGAGTCCCATCTCGCGTTGCTATCTTCATAATCGCCATCATCATCCGTTTGGCATGACCATAACGTGTCCTGAACACGTACCGTGCTTTAAGGAGAACGGTGGCAAAGAGTGGGTATTCGGGTGGAAATTGCAGTCGGCAAACGCGTTATCAACATGCTTGGCATTCATAAGATCTCTAAACCAAATCGTTCCACGGTATCGTCTGTACAGCCCAACGCTGAGCTACTTAAGACGCGCGGCAGGCATAACGTGTTAGTGGGTTGGTTGGTGGTGCGAAGAGGGGGAAGAGGGCGAATAGGTGCTGGGAAGGGGGAGAGGGGGCCAAAAGAGGCGCAGACAATAGACAAGGCAATCGTGGTCCACGCTGCATTGTGTCAGCATTCAAGCGGCAACAACGGAGAAGCCGACAACCTGCTCAGGCGCGCAACCAAATATGCTCGACGTACATATAATACCTGTCTTTTGTGGACTGTGCCTGTCGTTGCCCCCGCCCCTCTCTCACATTTCACCACACTCTTCTTCCACCAGATCCCTTCCGCCCTATTACAATGCCAGCCACTTGCTTTTGGCACGACAAAGTTTTCAATAAACTCCCTGAAGCGTGTGCATTAAGTGCAGCGAAGGAAGCCAACTCAATGTGTTGTGTATGTGTTTCCCTCCCTCTTTGTGTGAGTGTGTGTATGTGTATGTGTGTGTGTTTACAGTGGGGTTGAAGTACTTTTCCCATATACTGATGAAAGGAATGTACGATGTACATTCTTGCAATAGTTATCGATAATTAATCTATATAAACGGCAAACACTTGTAAATATCGATATCTTTTCGATTACATAGTTATTATATATCGATAACATTCCGAGTTCTTATCGATATTATGCAAATAATCAATTGATTACATATCAATTATTCATCGATTGCATATCGATTATTATTCGATGTCATATCGATCGCTTATCGATTACATGCTGATCATTCATCGATTCTTGAGTGATTACTTATCGATTATAAGTCACCAATTTTTCTGATTTTTATCGATTAACTAACGGTATTTAATTGCAATTTTTCAATTCTAGCGCCAATTTCCGACCATTGTACGCGATTGTACCCATCATTGGCCTCATTGCGGCCGCCTCAGCGTCGGATTTGTTTCTTTCTTTAGAGTGTGTGTGTGTTTTTTTGTCATCGCTGGCTTTTCCTGTATGTTTTCCATTGCGAGGGCTGCTGCTGGCTCCCTGTGCCACACAGCAATTTGCATGGCTTGAGATTCGAATTTGAAATGGAAAAGTAAATCGTGTAATGTGCCTGCAAGAAATTGCCTAATCCACCGACGCTCGGTGGCATTCTAGGGATTGAGTTGAGTTTGGAATTGGGCTTGGTTATGGTTATGCGAAATAGGGAAATGCGAAATGGGAAATGGGCAACCGCAAAAGTGCGCCGCGGGATAACCTAACCAAAAGCGATGACTACGAGGCATATGAGACCTGGCCAAGCTACAGCAGCGAGGGCTATAACGAGCTGTACGTGAGCTTGGCCATTATGATGACGGTGCCACCTGTTGTTGTTGTTGTTGTTATCGTTGCATGTGCATAGCAGCAGGTGGTGTTCCCTGCCTGGCCTGGCCGCAGTCGCTGACTTGATTGCATTGAGGGTTCGGGAGTTCGTGCTGCGTGTTGATGCAAAAGTTAGATAAATAAACTTCAAGTGACTGAGGCAAGGGAAGGAACAAAAAACAAAAAAAAAAAATACAAATTTAAACGCAGCGTGGGAGCTTAAGCTGGCCGGTCAGAGGGAAGAGAGTAGACAGAAGAGGTTTTGCAGCTGTAACGCGTTGTTGTGCAAGTTGTTTTTCCTTTTGTTGCTTGATTAAATGCACATTTTTGTGCACAGTTTTTAACACGTTGCTGCGCACAGGCGGGACGGGCAAGTGCATTGTTGCTTTTTGTCAAACGCGCACGAACAAAAGCCAACAACAATGAACAAGTACAGCAACAGCAGCAGCAACAACAACAACAACAACAATAAGCCGCACGGCCACGGCCATGGCCATAAAAAGCGAGGCGAGCGTCCTTACACGAACAGGGCTGCCATTCACCGAGCTCCAAATGAAATGGCGCATTGAGGCGTGTCCTGCTGCTGCTCGTGCTCCCCGCCTCCGCTATAGCACTTGTGACGATTGTCAATGTGTAAGCCATAATTTAAGCTTTAAGCCAAATGTCCAGCAACAGCCAGCCAAATGTAATCGGCAGCAGCCCCACGCCTCCCTCACAGTCCGGCCTCGCAAGAGGCAACAAACAACAACTGAAACAAAAACTCAATCGCATTGCATAAAATTACAACCTGCCCCAAATATCAGCCGCACATTTCGGACATTTCAAACTGGGCGCAAAGTCCACTGGCAGTTGTGCCAATTGTTGCTGTTGCTGTTTTCAGTTCTTTTTATTCACATTGCGCATACGTCACGTTGGCCCAACGTTGGCTTTACCTCGCCTTGCTGTTTTTTCGGCTTTCTTTAACTCGCTTCTTTTTTTTGGCCGTATTGTTTCGTGCTCAGCGACAGCCTCAAGCAAAAATTATACGCATGAGCGCGCCGGAAATGGCAAACTTTACAGCAACAACAACAGCAACGGCGTTCGCAAAAACGGAAGCAACTGCAAAGGCAGCCAAATTGAAAGCCACACCAAAAAGTGTTGCCAGGCCGTTTCACAGTGGAAAAACAAGAAAGAAAGAACTCTGCAGCAGCATTTGGCTGGGGTGCCAGCAAAAACAAAAACAAAAACAAAAGGCAGCCACTTTCCACCTGTGCCACGCCCAGCTCTATAGCAGCAGCGCCACCTGGCGTGTTGGCTTTGTAATTTGAATGCATTTCGTAGCGGGTTTTATGGGCTTGTCATATCGTTTGCACTAAACAGGATGTTGAGCTGCAAAAAATATAACAAAATCTAGACAGATTTTAGAGTATGTAGATTAAAGCACCAAAGTGCTTTTACAGTTGCTATAGAACTGAGCAAAGTAGCCTAATCATAGAGAAACGGTGGAATGGAACACCAAAATCTGTCATCTGCTTTGTTGAAAATCATTTTGGCTGATAGATGATATAAGAAAAGCCCTAATGATGTAATAGAATTTATGGAGTGGAACACGAGTTAAATACAATCTATGCACATTTGACGACGAAATTGAGTATTATTTTCTAACCGTTTTAATTTTTTTCCATTGAAACATTTTAGTAAAACACAGTTTTCTAAAACATCTCTCATATATGATACGCCTCAGTATCACATTTTTAAAATATTTCTATAATATATAAATAAAATTCCTAAAGCGGAGATGGATCATTAATTTTAATAAGCCCACATCTTGTACGATAATTGTAAGCTATGTAGATATTCTTCACTTTACACTTAACAT